GGGAGGGAGCGGCCATCAGAGGCGGCTGCGCCTCCGCCTGCCCGCCTTTAGGGCCGGGAGAGAACCCTGGCGCACGGAGAGGCTGAGGCAGGAGGATGGCAAGTTTGAGCTCAGCCTGGGCAACGTGGGGACTGAGCGAGACCCTGTCTCAAAGTGAAAGCAAAAATAGGGCTGGGCACGGGGCACACGCCCGTCGTCCCAGCATTCGGGAGGCTGAGGCGGGAAGGTGGGCTAGAGTTGGAGGCCAGCCTGGGCTACAGAGGGAGGCCCTGTCGCAAAAATATAAATAAAATAAAATAAGACAGACTGGGGATACAGCTCAGGGCGCAGGATTAGGATTCAGTCCTCAATACCAAGAAGAAGAAGAAGAAAAAAGTGATGCACAACGCTTCCCTGAGGAGAGCTGCGGCTTTCGCGGCTCTTTTGCAGCTCTCGCCACCTCGGGCTCTCTGTCCTCCCGCAGACCGGGCATCTGGACGGGAGGAGCCCGGATGGCCACCCGCTGTCCCCCAGTGCATGCCGGGAGCAGCACTGCTCCCTATTCTCCCAGCCCCTGCTTAATGTTCACCGCTCTCTAGGTTGTTATTCTGGTTTTGAATTTTAGAGACAGGCTCTCTCTGTAGCCCAGGCTGGCTGAGAACTCACGGAGATCCTCCTGCCTCAGCCTTCCAAGTGCTGGGATCCCAGGCGTGTGCCCAGCCACATCCAGCCTTAGTTAGTCTGACACCAGACGGCTGAGATGTCTGTGTAGCTGACTGTTTGCCTTTTTTTCCTGTGTGAGGAGCTCCTGCACTTGGGAGGCCGCACCCTCTCCCCGGGGCCGCCCAAGGAGCGCACTGCGGGCCCGGCCGCCCCACCTGCACGAAGAGCGGGATGGTGTTGAGGCGGTAGATCTCCATGCGGTTCATGGGGTCGCGGGCCAGGATGTGCAGGGCACCGGTGCAGCCCTCCACGATCTCCTCCATCCGCACGCCGTCCTGCACCAGGCCAGGGACCGGACGTCAGGGGCGCATGGGCAGATGGAGGGGCACCCCAGCCCCCACCCCACCCCG